GTAATTTTAGTTTTTCCCCCTTAAATTGCTTGCCGAAATAATTTTTTTCCGGCTTTTTAGTTTCAGTTATGGGGCCACAAACGCGGTCCTAAGTCTCAGTTTGCAGGAGACCTATAATCTAGTCTTAAGTCTTATTGCCCATATACCAATAGTCTTGGATGCCAACTTCCTTGCTCGAGTCAAGAAAGCTTTAGAAGGTTAATTTCTTGAGACAAATCCCCTAAAACATTTTCTCCTGCTTTCAGTTTTTTTTTGGCCTGAAGATTTTTCGGTCTGACCTGAGGACAAGTCATCATTCAGTGGCCTGAAGACTAAATTCAAATAATTGTCAAAAAACTCAAAATCGAGCAGGACAGAAACCGAAAATTTTAAGATGTCCAAATAACGGCATGAGAAGGGTTAAAGGCCCACATATGCACGTTAATTGTCAGGCGGATTTGAACGGCATCTGAATGAATGAAAAACAATTAAATCCACAGACTTGTTTGAATAGAATGTGCTGTAACTCCCGAGCGCCTTCATTATCTTTTCACTCCCATGTGCCACGAATTTCTATTTTTCAAGAACTCGCAAATAACGTCGCGAAACTGTTAAGTAAAAATACATAACATGAGAAAGCATCATTTTTCAGAATCTCGCATCAAAATGTCGTCGGACGAATTCAGGGAATTGCCGATTGATGGTGGGGTTCAGTATGGCCCAGAGCTGCCCAGTATCAGGCACATACTGGAATCGATGCCAGCAATTTACTGCGAAGTGCTGCGGGAATTCTATATGAAGCAGGTAAGCAATTAAGTTGAACGGTGTAACAGTGGTGTATCTGTTATTACGAAGAGCTTTCACAAACTAAGCAAGAGCGAAATAAAATCAGTAGAAGCTGCCAGGCAAATGGGCAGATGCCGTTGTTGCCCCAAAACACACCGTACAGAGGTGGCCAAGCATTGGTCACCGGTTCTCTAAATAGAATAGGTCCAAAAGAAGCTAGGAAAAATTGAGTCTGAAACAAATGTATTTTTAGATGAGAGAGAACCGGTGCGTGCGCTTCCGCGTACACGTAACTGTGGAGCTCGAATATGAAGAAGAGGAGGAGGCCCCAGCTCCGGGCGAATTTGAGGCGGAGTTCGGCGTCCCGGAGCCGGCTCCGCAGGCTGGGGCCGCGACCGATGAAGCGGCTGTGGCTGGTGCCGCTGAGGTCGCCGAGTTTGCGGCCGAGGAAGCGCCAGTGGCGGATGGCGCTGAGGCCGCGGTCGAGGAAGCGGCCATGGAAGAA